GTCCAAATGAGTTGATTCTTTTTGCATTCTGTTCTTACTGGAAAATCCTAGCAACACACCCAAGATGGGATTTTTCCTTTCTACCTAGAATTCCTGGTAATTTTCAGAAGTGTTCTTGATATTTTCTTTTTGTCATTTGAATCATTTTCAGAAGGTGGAGCTTGTCTTGAAGGCATCCAGGAGGAGTGTGAAGCTCCTCTGCACTAACGCAAGCCACAACAACATGATCATGGTGTGTTTGCAACATTCATGATTTTCTACTTGAATTTATATGATAATCATTGCATATAGTATTAAAAATAGATGATGCTTGTGTTATTTAGTTGTTATGATCAAAATTCTTATTTTCCAGAAATGAATGCTCGAACTAGTGAGTTATAGCTTGAGTACTTGATCTAAGTAAATTTTGTCATGACTATGGTATTATGAGCATGAGTATTGTTTTTTGCTATATGAAAAATGAGTTTTATTTGATAAAGGCCAACTAAAGTAATGAGTAGAAATAACCAGTAAGAAAGGACCAGAAATGTTGCAAGTTGAGTTTGTGCAAGTAGAACTTTGAATAAGGTTGATCTGGTATTGTTAAAGTGATATATGATGCATGATACATGGTTGCATGAGCATGGCATATTGTGACTCGGGCATTTTTAATTTCAAGTTAAACCTAATGATAATTGAACTTGAACTTAAAAGTTGGTCGGGTCATGGTGCCATGAAATCAGGCTGCCAATTGCAACCACATTTGCCTTAGTATGGGGAGGCCGTAGTCGTTCCGTTGTCATGCCTCTTGTCGGTACCTCCAACTAGGGAAGGTTATGGGCGTGCGTTCCTCTGGCCTGGTAAGCAGACATAATCTTGTGGACTTGTTGTTGTTATGGTACCGTGTCCCCATTTGGGACGGTTTGTTTGCCACGATGGTGGTAGTTTTGCCTTTGGTAGGCTGGGTCACCCAGGACTGATCCCAGAGGGGAGTTGGTCGGAGTGGACGTAAGAGTGCCATGGCAATGGGAGGGTTCTGTCGGAATGTCGTTGGTCCACCTGAATGGGAATGCGAGGCCATGGGTTCCATGGTGTGGGTAAAGTGTGCTACCTCTGCAGAGTGTATTAATCTATCGATAGCCGCGCCCGCGGATAAGGGCCCAGTTTGGAAGTAAGTCACACCATGGATCAACTTTCATAAATAATCTTGCACACTAAGTTATTTGCATTGCAATTGAGTTATGATAACGTTAGTGAGACTAACTGTTGTGGTATCATTCGTGATCCGGGAGTGGTCACTGGCTGGGTTACGAGGTAACCTATTGAACCCAGTGTGGTTCTATTGGTGTTCCGTCGTGATCACTGTTCAGTTGCAAGGCAACCTGTTGGTAAGAGAGTCCGAGTGACTCGATGCACAAGTTTGGTCACTACATGAGTAGCATGTTGATAGTTGCATTAAACTTGTTTAAATGTCATGATGTTGTTTGCCATTATGGTTTTGCTTGTTGCGAGCTTGCAAGTACATTCAATGTACTGACCTGGCGTGTTATGCCAGCTTTCAGGAAAGTCTATCGCAGTGCTGCCGTGTCTAGACTGTGTCCACATCGGTGACCCTGTGCTATGGAGTCCCACTACGTCGTTGTTCCGCTGCTGTGTAGATGTCGTGATCGAGGCCCTTTATGTTCACTAAATAATGTATATATGTTCAGCCGCACCGGGTGTGTCGCTTGGCCTCGCTACTTGATGTAATGTAACACTATGCTTTAGCTAGTTTCAATAAAGCGGTGATTTCTGTACCAAGATGTTGTGTGTTGCCAGAAGACATGATCTCTGGGTTGGCAATGCAAGGTAAATCGGTCGCTCTGAGCCGAGGTGCCACAGCCAACCTAGACGGGTGACGATGGCCCATGGTGATGCCGGCCTGGACCGGTGATGGCGGTAGCGCCGGCTCCCAAGAGCTTGCCGACAAGCCAACCTGTATCCGGTTGGCTCAGCGGGCCACCGAGTCGGCTGCAATGCCAAAGAGTTCCTTCGTCTATTCGTAAGAGAAGCTGTCCCACACACGACTTTGGAGCTCGAGGCCATGATGTGTGCTGCAAAGAGGAGATGGAGAGCGGAGGTGTTGTGTGACTCCTGCCCAGCGCCTAGCCACATTTAAATAGGGGTGAATGCCAGGTGCCAGAGGTAGGGTGTTTAATGCCGGTCGGCATACAAACAGATGTGTGGTGCATGGAGAGTCAAAGTAGGTTCCTCGGCAGACGGCTTGGTTAATGGAGGTAGGCGGGCAGACAGATGCCGTTTCGATGCGGAGCAAAGAAGCGTGCAATGGGAGACGCTTCAATGTTGGCTTTAGTGAGAGGTCGTGTACGCTCCGAGCCGGAATGAATGCGGCGCTAACCGTTTTTGGCAGAAAAGGGCACGGCCGAGGGAGTGGATTTTGGGTACATGCCCGTATTGAAAGGCAAAACGCGTCCGGATAGCATGGTCGGATAACGATGCCCTAATAAGGCCTAACCTAAGCATCGTGCATTGATGTACCCCACCAAAAAAACACGTACGTTTTTAAAAAATGGGCGCTTTATTACTTAAAAGATTTAAGCATTACATCCGGCCTCTGCATAGCTAAGATGCACACAGCCAAACAATACCCTCTCATTCAAATGAAAAAAAGGCAAAATACAAGAAAAACATGCAGTATCCGTATAACGCCTAAAGCGGAGGGGGGCCAATCCTAAGATCATGTTGTCACCCATGTTGGGTAAAAGTATCCCTCGTCGTAGCCTTCCAATTATGTACACACCTTCATAAACAGGTCTCGATTCTCCACGCGTTGTAGAGAGGACCATAAACGAAGAGTCCCAGTACATCTGTAGATAACCTACATAAGAGAAGTACTTTTATCGTTAAAAACCTTATCATTTCTACAGAGCCAAAGCGACCAAATAACTGCAAGCGCTCCCACCCTAAGAAGGGTTCTAAGCCTGTGATCAATCTCATGTAGCCAGTTTTCAAATACATTAGCAACACTACAAGGAGGATACAAGTCAGAAGCTATTTGAATGACTGACCATATAGAATGAGTCAATTTGCATTGGAAGAATAAATGTTTTATTGTCTCATCATAGTGACAAAAGACACATTGCGGACTTCCATGCCAATTCCTCTTAATAATGTTATCTTTAGCAAGAATGACTCCGCGACGAAGATACCATGCGAAGATTTTATTCTTAAGCGATATCTTCATCTTCCAGATCTTCCTGTTATTATCAACTGGCACATCAGACTGGATTAACACTCTATATATAGACTCCACTGAGAACTGTCCATTCCCATGTAGGTACCATCGGAATACATCAGACCCATGTGCCAATTGCACTGTGGACAACTGCTGGAGCAGGATGTTCCACGATTGTAGTCTGGGTCCAAATAAATCCTTTCTAAATGTCACATTTGGCGGAAATGATTCCATTACCATGGTGATAGTATCACCCTTGTGACATTCAATGTTGTATAGAGCCGGATATTGTTCCCGGAGAGTGGCATTTCCTAGCCACTTATCCTCCCAGAATCTAATTTCCGAGCCATCCTTAATCGAGAAAGATCCATAGCAAAAGAAATATTTCTTCGAAGCCATTAGACCCGCCCAAAAGTGGGAATCCCCAGGCTTCCAATATACTTGAGATACTGCCTTGGAGCCCACATATTTCCGTCTGAGGAGGGTTTGCCATACACCATCTTCCGTCAGTAATTTTAACAACCATTTACCGAGTAGGGACCTATTCTTAATCTCAAGGTCATGAATGCCCAACCCGCCTTGGTCTTTGGGACGGCAAACCACACTTCATTTAGCCAATTGATATTTCTTTTTCCCGCTATCTCCTTGCCAAAAGAATCTTGATCAGAACTAATCCAATCTATGTAAAACTCCTTTCGACAACTGGAAGAAGGAGATCATATATAGTACCATATTATTTAGTACTGAATTTATTAGGACCAATCTTCCTCCTAGAGACAGCAGCTTACCTTTCCAACTTCTAGGTCTTTTTTGCAGCCTCTTCTCAATGTGTTTCCATTTAGCATTTGTGAGTCTCCGATAATGTATCGGTATCCCCAAATATGTGATCGAAAACTGCCCCAACCCGCATCCGAACAGTTCGGCGTACAGGTGAGCCTCGTCTTGGGCCTCGCCAAAGCAAAAAACAAGTACATTGATGTAATAATGCCTGAGGCATGATGCCAAAGCAATAAAAGATATGTTTCAGCTGCTCACAACGGATAAATCATACTCCCTCTGTCCAACGCTTTTATATTATGGTGCAGAGAGAATACTTGCCAACCGAGCACACGTTAAGGGCATGCATGATGATTGATAAGATGATCTTATTTTAAGTCTAGCATTTAATTTAGAAATAACAAAAAACATATCTACAATGGGTCTTCTCGAGAAGACAAACTTTTCTTACAATTTCTCTCTCCTCCGCCTCATCATTTATCCTATATGTCATTCCTAAGATAGAACCATTGTATATACCCTAACACGTATTACAACGACTTACAAGCAAGCAAGGTTAGAACCAGCTACCAATTAACTTAATAACTATTCCTGCTACGAGATGACACATGCACGTACCACGAGATCAAATGACGAAGCAACTTCCACATCGGCAGAGGTGATCTGAGAAGAAATAACACGTGCCACATGCCAGGACGTCTGACTAACTCAGCGAGCTTGACAGGTGCAGATAAAATACATTTTTTTACCCATCGGCTTGACTTATTCTAACGGGCACATGTATTGGAAATCGACGGCTGGCCAACTATAATTTGGCGAGGTACTTTTTCTCTATTAAAGTTTCCATACTTAGAGAAGCCATCGATGATCTTGTGCAGGCAGTATATATAAATACACAACGCATGGTGGCAATCTATCTCATTGTCACAGATACATCTTCCCCTTTGTTTTGTAAGGCTTAGCGATGGAGAAGCTAGCAGCAGTGGTGCTCTTAGCTCTCGCGTCCGCCATGGCGGTCACGGCCCAGAACTCGGAGCAGGACTTCGTGGACGCCCACAACGCGGCGCGCGCCGACGTGGGCCTTGGTGAGGTGACATGGGACGCTACCGTGACAGCCTTCGCGCAGGACTACGCCGATCAGCGCCGCGGCGACTGCCAGCTGATCCATACTCCTGATGGCCGGCCGTACGGGGAGAACCTCTACGGAGGCGGCGGCGGTGGGACCGAGTGGACGGCGACGGACGCCGTGAATTCGTGGGTGTCGGAGAAGCAGTACTACGACCACGACAGCAACACCTGCTCGGCGCCCGAGGGTGAGTCGTGCGGGCACTACACGCAGGTGGTGTGGCGCGACTCGACGGCCATCGGCTGCGCCCGCGTCGTCTGCGACAGCGGCGACGGTGTGTTCATCATCTGCAGCTACAACCCGCCAGGCAACTTCCCCGGGGTGAGCCCGTACTAGGCTATATGCATCATGCATGCATGCGAGCGTGCATGTACGTACGGCGTATTGCATAAATAAAATGATTAAGCTCTGATAACCACAGTGTGATCAGATGTGATATATAATTAACCAGCCGGCCGGATTTGAGGCCATATATTGTTTAGACCGGCTGTATATATGTACCGTTATGATTCAGGTAATAAGTTTGTGTTATTGTATAAGCAGTGTTTATGAATGAATATATGGTTCTACTATTATACTGTGCATGGTATATGTGCCTCCCTGTGAAAAAACCCCAGTACACTTAGAAACCACTAATCAAAGTGTCTTTCTTCCGTTTTGTCATCTCGCACTTGTTCTCTATGTTGTGCATTTTTTTTCCGGATCCCAACTCGTACAGAAAACGGAGTAGATCTCGAGAGGGCACGCTAGGTCTTGTTCCTGAGACTCGCGCTCCCTCCTCCACGCCATAGGCCACTCCTGCCGTGACAGTCACCCAATCTGCCATTACGGCTCACCCATCTACTCCCAGGTTTCACTCTGGATCCAGCTCCGGTCGTGGTCCCGTGCAAGCTCGCTCTCGACTAGCGGTCCATCATAGGTTCTGTTGGAACTAATCTTGTTATTAGTGCCAAAAGTAGATGATTAGATCATGTTTATTTTGGATTGCATGATGTTGTTTTAGTAGCTGACTAAGTTCTAGCTAGTTGCATGCACGTGATCATGGCAGATGGGCATACCGGCAAGAGAGACAGCACTAAGCGATACAGAGAGTGCAGTCAGTGGCCAGATTGCAAGCCATTAGTGGAGTAGTGCATGCACGAGTTGTTAGGATTAGTCAAGTTGAATAGTGGCAAGCTACATGCATGGATCAAGTTTGGCCTGGTCGTGTGGCCGTTGAGGAGAAGCCGCACAAGAGCTGAACGTGGGTGCATGCAGGTAGTGGAGAGTGAGAAACGGATCAAGCCGTTGTGGCTTGGCCATGCGAGCATTGCATATTTCCCTTTAAATAGGCTTGTAACCATTTTGCTATTAGAGATGAGGAATACAGAAAAGGCACAAGTGCGTGTGCCAGAAAAGCTCTGCGTGTTTGTGTTCTTCCTCTCCATTGTGTATTACGTGAGAAGTGTAGGTGTGTCCACTGCGTACTCGCATGTGTGTATCCATCGATCTCCTGGGCCATGCCAACATTTGGTATTCAGAGCCATGGTGATTGAAGGTTCGCGCACTCCGTCTCCGGGTCGCCGCCGTGTCTCGGCCTCGCCGGTGGTGCGCCGAGGCCGGAGCCCGACGTGGCGTGGCTGCCGCGAGGTGGTGGTGCAGCAGGAGGTCGTCCACCAGGCCAGCAGCACCGTCATCTACCCGGCGCTGACGGCGACGAACTACTTCGAGTGGTCGCTGATCATGAAGGTGAACATGGAGGCCCAACGCGTGTGGGACGCCATCAAGGGAGGCGGGAGCTTCAGCCAGGACAGGGCGGCGCTTGCGGCAATTCTGCGAGCCGTGCCGGAGGAGATGCACTCCACGCTTGCCATGAAGGCGACGGCAAAGGAGGCATGGGATGCCATCAAGATCATGCGGGTCGGCGATGCCCGCGTCCCTGAGGCCAAGGCGCAGACTCTCCTCAAGGAGTTTGATGCCGTCCGCATGAGGAGTGGCGCGACCCTCGATGAGCTCGCCATGCGCATGAACGGGGTCACCAACAAGCTGCGCACGCTCGGCTAGAACCTCGACGAGGTGAAGGTCGTGAAGAAGCTTCTCCGCATCGTGCCGTCCAAGTATACCCAAGTAGCCATTGCCATTGAACAGCTTCTTGATATTAAAACCATGTCCATGAAAGAGCTTGTGGGAAGGCTCAAAACGGCGGAGGACCGGAGCGACTTGGACGAGGGCGCCAGCAACTACGACCAGGGTGGTGGGAGTCGCCTGCTCCTCACGGAGGAGGAGTGGCTTGCTCGCCACCGCAGCGGCACCGGCAAGAAGAAGAGCACCTTCGACATCCGTAAGGTGCGCTGCTACAACTGCCAAGACTATGGCCATTTCGCGAAGGATTGCACCGCGCCAAGGAAAGAGCAGGCCCATCTCGCCGCCGCGACTGCCGACGACGAGCCGGGGCTGCTTTGAAGATCGACATGGAGGTGTTCGAATAAACGACAACAAGATTAAGGGGGTGATTGATAGAGTAAACCTTGTTGTCTAGGTATTCATCATGTTTATTTCGCATTAGTTTCGTTCTTGCATGTAGTTGAAGCTATGGTGGTGTGCGCACGTCAGAGTTGTGTTTCACGTGTGCACACAATTGCAAAGCTAATTTGTTTTAATGAGTAGTTAGTTGCATGCCTAGTTAGTGGGAGGAGTGGTTCACACGCATGCATGGATAGAGTTTGTTAGACGGCTTAGTTGTGAACCTGATAATCACCAGTGTTGTGTCTCCATCAGCGAGGAGATCGGCCGAAACCGAGTGGCCAGAGAGGTGGTTAGTTTGTTGCCATTTCTACCGGCTAGTGGAGCTAGTCGTGGCTCAAGCCGTTGTGTGGCTGGGTGTATGCGTGCACTACTAATAGGCTGTGTAACCAAGTTCATTTGTAAGAGAAGAAATACAGAAAGTGGCACAAGTTGTGTGCGGTGCCAAGCTCCTGTGTGTGTTCTTCTATCTTGTGTGAGTGTGAGTCTTCTTCCTCCTCCGGCTGCGCCAACACTTGGTATCAGAGCCTTGTCGATCCAAGGCGGTGGTGGCGGCGCGACGGACTCCATGAGAGGTGGAGGTCGGCGGTGCAAGATGGACGTCGTTGGCGGAGCGATGCTGCTAACGGCCGGTGTGTGTCTCCCTCATCGTCGAGCTGCGTCGAGCGATGGAGAAAAGTGCTGCCCGGTAAGTCGTGTCACCGGCGGCAAGGAGGTGCTGCCCGGTAAGTTGCGTCACCGGCGGCAAGGAGGTGATGGCCATGGAGGGGAGGTCGTTGCCACGAGAAGTTCCATGTCCGAGTCGTCGACAAGATGCGTTATCGGCGACAACATGGAGGTGAGCCACTAGCGAATTGCGGCACCGGTGGAGAACATGTGGCAGCGAGTGTGCAATGGCGGCACGCTCGTGGTCAAGGCGTAGGAGGTGCATCTCTCGTGGAGGCCAGCGGCGACGGCGGGAATCGGCGGGACAAGATGGCATTGGCGGCCATCTTCGTGTTGCACCGACGACATCGACGACCCTGGGCTTCTAGAGAGAAATAAATAATAACAAGATTAGGGAGGTGATTGTTGGAACTAATCTTGTTATTAGTGCCAAAAGTAGATGATTAGATCATGTTTATTTTGGATTGCATGATGTTGTTTTAGTAGCTGACTAAGTTCTAGCTAGTTGTATGCACGTGATCATGGCAGATGGGCATACCGGCAAGAGAGACATCACTAAGCGATACAGAGAGTGCAGTCAGTGGCCAGATTGCAAGCCATTAGTGGAGTAGTGCATGCACGAGTTGTTAGGATTAGTCAAGTTGAATAGTGGCAAGCTACATGCATGGATCAAGTTTGGCCTGGTCGTGTGGCCGTTGAGGAGAAGCCGCACAAGAGCTGAACGTGGGTGCATGCAGGTAGTGGAGAGTGAGAAACGGATCAAGCCGTTGTGGCTTGGCCATGCGAGCATTGCATATTTCCCTTTAAATAGGCTTGTAACCATTTTGCTATTAGAGATGAGGAATACAGAAAAGGCACAAGTGCGTGTGCCAGAAAAGCTCTGCGTGTTTGTGTTCTTCCTCTCCATTGTGTATTACGTGAGAAGTGTAGGTGTGTCCACTGCGTACTCGCGTGTGTGTATCCATCGATCTCCTGGGCCATGCCAACAGGTTCCGGACTCGCTTGCGGCCCCGCCCGTGAATGCAGTAGATCTGACCTCGACGCCACGAATCCTGCCGCAGGGAGAGTCATCCAACGCCATGCATGCCTATGGTACTCCAGATCCAGTGTTGTGATTGAGCGGCAGTACCTAAATCCATCGTGGTCATCCCCTACGCTCTTGTCAACATTTCCTCTTCGGACGAGGAGGAAGGATGGACGAAGAAATAATCTCGAAGGAACACACAGATAAGCAAGGAGCCATCGATTATTAGTGCACACGTACAGCTACACAGCTCGGACCGACACCGGGACATGAATGGTGCGCCGGGCCTTGAGGCCTTCTTAAGCTGCTTCAAAGGCCAGATACTCTGGGTTGCATCATTTGCGAGCTGCCGGGGCATTTCGGCAGAAAGTACCCTCAAAATCCATGAAACGGCGGTGTCCGGCGCCGACCTGGGCGCCAATTCAAGATCAGGTTCAAACAACCGGGCAATTACCCCTTCATCCACCAAAAGAGATGAAATGCTTTCACTATTTGTTCTAGAAGATAACTTACCAGCGTTTTTGTTAATTATAAATGATTGTGAAGGTGTATGGTAGGAAGCCAATAACACTTAGTGTGGAATATTTAGAATGCAAAGTAGATAATTATTGTATTGGAGATGCCGGCTTCTTTCAAGTACTATATAAATTGCAATCTTATAAATAGTGTTCCTTAGTTCAGTTGTTGCTCAATAGAACATCTCAAAATATCTTCGAAAGAGTTCAATCAATTCTTGCGAGTTAACCCGCCGACAATTATTTATGTTTATTTGATACTCTGGGTGCATATATGCAGAAAATAAATCGTATTGGTTGCAGGTTATGATGCTAATATTGGACAAGGAAGCATTGGTGCAGCTGCTGTAATCTGGAGGGTTCTATCATATTGCCCGTGTCTTCTCTCTCATGTTGTCACTCGAGGCTGAAGAAACCGAAATTATTGCCTGACTGAAGGACTAAAAGCACCGACTACAGTTGTAATCCATCCCATCATTCAGATTGTTTAGTTGTTGTTTCTACTTTGAAGAATGCAGTGCACAATAAATCTCGACTTCACAATAGTGATGTGGATACAAGGGAATGAATTTGTGAAGATTGCCAGCATGATTCTTATCAATTTGGTAATTATTAAAACCATATAACAAAAAAAAATCTCAAACATGTTGTGTCTGGTTTTTGTCTGTAGCTTTTAAACAGTAGAAAAGATATTCTTGGTATAGATTGGCAAGTGTTTTAACTGAACCAGAAAAGAAAATATATTTTGTATATACTCCATGGGTAAGTCATGCAGGTTGCTCTGGCAATTAAAAATGCAGCTAATGGTCCGGTTATTCTTGACACTTTGGGTCTATATAATTTAGGTTTCGTTCTAGTTGGTCAACTAGCCTAACCCGCGCGGCGGCACGCCGCGCTTGATGATCTCTCGCAGATGTGCAATCTATTGATCTAAAAGTGGAAATGCGCACACTCATTTGATGTCAAAATAATGTATAGAGATAGTAAACAAACCGAGCATACGAATATATTGAAATATTGCAAATGTAGAGATACAAAGATAC